TCTTTCCCTCAACACAAGCAATCCCAAAATAACTACAAAAAAAAAACCCAAGATCAGCATCTAGTTTCCATATAAAAAACTTCTTACATCGAACAACAATGATAACATTAAGAAAAAACAAAAACCAAGAGATCCAACACGGATCCCAATCCACACCCATTGAACCTAGTCCCTTCAATAATTTTTTTTTTTTTAAAGTTTCATACTTAAACAACCATGACATCAAACAAAAACTCCAAAAATTCATCTTTTACTAAAAAAGAAGAAGAAGCTTTTGCACAAAAAAAACTCATTACAAAAAAATGAAAACCCATTAACATGAAGTAGAAGATCATGTGATTGCATTAGTAAGAATGAAACAGAATCATGAGTTGAAGATTATCATTAAACAAGCAAAAAAAAACCCCGGATTTTTTCGAATAAAATTTTCAAAAATAAGAAAGGAAATGCTTACATGGGTTTGTTTTGTTTAAGGGATTTCGCTGAGAGTGAAGAGAGCATAGATCGAAGCACCCATTAAAATTTGTAAGCGTTTTTGGTCTCCCTCGCTATATATGTGAAGAAAGCAAGGCAATCCCAGTATAACAGAAGGAGAAAATAAAAATAAATAAGCGAAAACAATAGTTTGCACGAATAAATTTTAAGAGAAACTAACGGGAGGGTAAAACAGGAAACAAAATAATACCCTTGGAATTCGTGAACGGATGGCCCGAGGAACGAGATTTCGAGACGGAGCTCTTTTAAGTTTTAGCTCTCTCTCTCTCTCTCTCTCCGGTTCCTGTAGTCATGTCCCGTGTTGTTTTTTATTTCGCGGGTATTTGTAGTCGCGGTTGAATTGTAATTTTACAATTTATTATTTTTATTTTTTATGTCATTTTAATATTCTGATATTAAAAACAAATTTAAAAAAATAAAAAAATATATTATTTTACTATTCCAAGCACTCATTTCTTTGCCTGAAATCCAGCCTTTTCATTCTAATCATCCACCTTTTGTGTTTTCAATGCTCAGCTCCAGTGATAAGTTGATTTATCCTACAATTCACAACATTATGAATATAATTGCCAAACTTTATTTAATAATTGATTTTAAAAAAAAATTAGATTATTTTATATTGAGGCCACCTGTTTTAATTTACAATAATAGTGTTTTCATCTTGATTATGGAGCTTGATTAGGTTTAGATTAGATTTAAACATAACCATACGATTTAAATTTACAATAATAGTGTTTTATTTTATTGGTCTTTTCTCATGAATCACTTCTGGTGGGACTTTTGGATTTCTCAAAAATCACTTCCACTGTTTGATTTTTGGATTGATATATGATAAAAACATGGATATTGACATTGTGATTATACATACACTCGTTAATATAGTTTAGATTATAGTTAGATTAACAATTGACATGTAAATAATGCTAAATTATTATTTTTAAGTATTTAATTACTGTTTCAAGATCGATAAGATATACTCTTGTGCATTTAAAAAAAATAATAATATAAATTTACCTACAAAATATTATATAAACATTTTTATTTTTATTTATTTCTTTTATTTTAGGATATTAAAATAATGTTTGATTATTGTCAGAAAAAGACAAAAAAACATGGATAAAAATGTATTTAGTTGAAGAAACAGAGATAAAAATATAAAATAACTCTTTTATTAAGATAAATTTAGAATTAATTTATGCATTTTTAAAATATAAAATACACAAGACAAGTTGATTTTATTCAAAGACAATAATCAAAAGGCTGTCTTTAACGAAGACAACCTATGAGACTAATAGTCAACAAGTGTCTTGGCATGGTAAGAACTTCTAATCCAGTTGGTTTAAAGACTTCATCCATTTTTAGAACAGAAAAAGGTGTGGATATTTATTTTAAGTCATTTTATATTTATAAATCTACTTCTTCTTGTTTTTTTTTTTTTTTTTGAAAAGGAAGAGTGCTTGAAGAATTATTTGTAAATCATCAATTGTCCAAGAACTAATTAAGAATTATTAAATCTAGTTTTTAAAATAATTTTATTTTTTAATATCAAACATATTTTTAAAATACAAACGAACTCAGTGCTACCATTACTTAGACAAAGCAATTGCATTGTTTCCCTTTATCCCCACTGTCTCGAAGCCACTGCAAGTAGGTATGCTTCTACATATATTCCTGCTTTTTATTCAAAGGTCAAACTTCAAATTTTGACTTGGAAATTCAGAGTGGAAGATGTCGTTCACTAGTAAAATATGATTTTTTTTTAAAAAAAAATCTATTAATTAAGAATTTATGGGAGGTATTTTCCATTTTGTGTTGGATGACAGGGACCATGTTAGGTGAACCAAGTGGCTCTTCTACCACCTTTCTCATTTGCAAGGCGAGTGTTGACCTTTCTTCTTAAGAAGGGACTCTTTTTTATATACGGAAATTACTCAATTAAAACTTGGTTGATTTTATTAAAAAAAATCAATTATATACTTTTAACTTAAAAAAATAATCAAAATAATATTAATTTAATCAACTTGAACTAATCTAATCAACTCGTGTTGGGTTTATTACCGTGTTTAGAATACAATTTATTATAATTGGTTGCACCTTTCATTGATCCGGGAATTTATGTCAAAATGAAGCAATTAATAATGTTAATGGAAGGATCAGGTGAGCGATGACCGTCCCAAGACGGAGTAGTCAAGGGCCGGAGGCCGACAAAAATGGTAGCAATAATGGGTCATCCATTTATGAAGAGCATAAGACTCCAATGTTGTTCTTATTCCTTTATAATAATATTTTTGTGGTTTATAAATATTTAATAAAAGTCAACATTGCCACATTTGTCCCCCACCCCTCCCCTTCCCCATTTGCTCGTAAGAAAGAAGCTTAGGCATGGCGAACTTTCTCCTACACTGCCAAGTCTGGCCTTGTTCTTTGCCCAAATAACCCTACTGGACTGCTGGTCAAGACTACTGATGATCAGACCTCCTTAACAGGGCATGGGGGTGTTCATTTGCCCATTAATAAGGGCATTATTGCAATTATTATCTCACCAGTTGTTCGAATTTCATGTTTGTTCATCACCAATGGGACCCCATATTTCCTTTAAAAATGATGTAAGCATGTTTTTATAATAATAATTGGTTGGATTCTTAAGAGGTATGTGTGATCAAGAACAAATTCTTATATATCTTGTCAAGGAAAAAGTGAAATATTTAAAATAGTATCAATAATTAGAGAGTGATTCTCCCACCATTAGTCAGGATCACATGATCATTTTTAATAATTAGCAAGAGTATTAACAATAATAGTCAATAATGAACTTAAAAATAATAAGACTATGTATGTAATATACGGGAAAGTTCACTATTAACTCTTTTATGGTAGCTAATTTTCAGTACAGAATTTAATTAATTATTGTTTACTAGTAGATTTTATAGATTAAGTAAAATAATTATGGAGTCATAACTCATAAGCAAGTGAGTGGTACTAAATTCCAAAACTTCAATCAAAAGTAACTATATATATATATTGAAGATTAAATTTTGTATATGCACACTGTTTTTTTTTTTTCCCATTTCTTCTCCCTTCTAATTAATACTAAACCTCTTATTTCTTTCAAATATTCAGGTAAATGAAAAATATCTTATTTAAAAGAAACTAAATACTAATAAGCTTGCAAAAAACCTTATAAAAACTGAAATCAATCTAATAATTGATTAGTACGATACAAACCATATGTTTTATCCAATATATATCTCATTCAAACTATTATTAAATTGTGTAATTCATTTTTAATCTCTCATCCAATGGATGAATTGAAGAAAAAATCTATTGTGTTGGAATATTATGAATGTAAGAAAGAGAAAGTTGACTCCTTGATTGGGTGAAATGCGCTAAGTGAATTTTAAAATGGGATATATTCCATTAAATCTAAGCTAAAAGTGTTGATCCTAGCTACACGTATTACATCGATTGTGCTGGAAAAAACACAGAAAAAAGATAGGACATGAAAGGTCATGCCAAGCTAAAGGCATACCTAGCTAAGAAAAGCAATCCATAGGAGGGTCATTGTAGAAGCAAAATTAAAGGCTAAGCTGGCACTTACTAAGCCTGCTTTAACCGGTTTAATTATGTCTTCATTAGAAATAAACAAAACCCTAAAAGTCAAAAGGCAAAAGCGATGCTTGTTTCCAAATGATCGAACAATTTACTTCAAGGTTTGGTGGTAAACCCTAGCATGATTGTTCTTCTTTTTCTTTTTAACTCTTTCCACTTTGTAGATCAGTAACCGACCACATCATTATATCCTGGGAATTTGTTTGGTCTTTGTCTTAATGCACAAGAGACGTTAATTTATTTGTACTTTGTTGAAAGGCCGACCATGACAATGAATCATGCCAAAATACTCATTTTTATTTCTTATTCAGTGCTATTTGAAGGTGTTTTAGGGTGATTTACCATTTCAATCAAGATTAAATACTTTTTTTAATGATTTTTAAAATATATTCTTTATCTTAGTTCACTATACTCAGGGAACAAAATCCTTTTAATTAATACTATTTCAAGATAAATATAAAGTAAACCTCTTTAATCAAGTAATTTACCTATCCCTTGAGATTTAGGGCAAGGTACTCTTATATAATATTGACATGCTAGACACCCTATGATGAAAAAAGACTAATGATTGCCTTTGAGGATTAAGCTGCTCATGTTTGCCTCGTATCAAGACAAGAAGACACTAATAATACAATGTTTCCAGCTAATTCTACACCCAACCTTGCTTTTACAACTTTTCTGTGTTGTAGCAAGTTCACAAGGTCATACTCGTTAAGAGACAAATGTGTTGATGCATGGTACGCAAGTCAATTTTGATTGCTTCTCCTGTTTTTTTTTTTTTTTATAATAAACATACATGTTTTTAGTCACATATATTTGATGAGTTCAGACAACGAAGTCAAAGATAATTCTCTAATAACATAATCACCGTGCATGATTGTTCAAGGCCTTGAAAAGTCTTTAAGTTAGGTTTAAAAATGTTGTTTTTACTGTCTTGATTTTTTAGTTAATTTTAGATTTTAATTATTTTTTTCTATATACGTAGCTTTGAACTCTTTTGGCTAAATTGGTTTTTGCCTATGTATTTACAATTTTTTTGTGCGGATAATCATCAAAAGTATATTGAAAAAGTCATAAAGTCAATAATCAAAGCAATATACATGAACGTGTTCAAATAGAAAGAAAGAAAAAAACTTTGGGTGAATAAATATCCAAACCATGGAAATAAATCATATATATTAATTATAAAGTCCACAAAAATAGATTAACCATACGGAAATTAATTAAGTGACGCTTGCAATAATTAGCACCATATGCAAAAGTCTAAAAGGGCTTGTCGTCCACCAGATACCGAGCTCCTGATAATGATGGTTTTTCTACCTTCTTTTTCATGTTATTCGGCTTAACACTTGATGATGCATGCTCACACTGCTTATATATAGTGATTAGAAATTATTTTTGTTGTTTTTTCCGCATAAAATTCAGTGATTTGATTTCTTGATAGGTTTCATATCAAGCGTACAAGAAAAATTGCCGACACCCCAAAATTTCTGAAAGAAAGGAGGGTCATCT